GAGGGAGAGGGAGGGAGGGAGGGAGGGAGAGAGAAATGGATAGGCTGAAACTCTACCTGTTTGTTAGGTTTATAGTTGGAAGGGAGAATGGGAAGAGAGGAAGGAATGGGGATGGAGAGAGAAAGGAAGAGAGGCAGAGAGTAGGATGGAGATAGAAAGGGAGGGAGAGAGAGAGGGGTGGTCCAAATGCTTCCCTGGTATCCTTACAATAGATTTTCTTCTGGGATAGGAAACAACTATATTCCATTGTTATTACTAATAAAAGAAATCTTGCAGAATTGAAATTATAAGAAAGCAAATTGGAATGCTATGTCCAAAATACTCGGTCGTAGTCGTAGCAACTGATCAATATTATTATTATTTTACATAATTGCAACAGCTTGGTGAATTGCAAAAGGTCAGAGCAACATATGGAGTGCTTGAGGACTTTGTTTTGATTTTGATTTTTGATATCTTTGAACCTCATTGCATGATAAAGGCGGACATGTTTTGAGACTAACGTTGGGATTCGTCTTTATTTTCTAACCAACCGACTGTATGGAATGAAAAAAGGGACATTTTTTTCTCTAAATTGTCTGCGGACTGAAATGATGCCCCTAACAACAAGTAATCGTCTGCAGCACTAAGCAACTTACATGTAAACATGCGCCAGGCATTGTATTGCTGCATTGAAAGTGCGATTCAAACTTTTGTAGACAATCTGAAACTGACGTTCTTTTAAACGGGATACATTTGACGGAAATTTTCATTTCACTGCTCTTTCCATAACATTTTGTTTTTTTCCATAAGTCATTCATGAATATGTGGCCTTCTAGAACACTGACACGACCTTGTGCGCAGCGACGCTAACCCGTCTAGGCAATCGATCTTTTTAACTCTCCACGGTTAATTGGATCGCCGTTCAGGTGTGCAACATTTCTCCCAGTGTTAATAAAAACATTTTAACCCTTTGTATAAAGCTGCAATGTCAACATGGGGAACTTAGCACCCCTGTGGTTTTGGGTTTTTTTTACGCGCCGAGGGTTTTTTAACCCTGTGGTTGTTTGTGAAAAACGACAAGGCATGCTTCTTAGCCTTAATTCTAACTATCATAATACTATTGTTCACGTTTTTTTACTCTTTTTTGTAGAGTTGTTGAATTGGCGTAGAGTAATGTTGCTTTAAATTCTAGAGCAGGACTAGTCGTAATTTACAGTGCACAAAAATCGGACTAAAATAGATAATGATTTTAATTTTAATGATAATAATAATGATAACAGTTATGATTGTAATAGAATAAAACAATTAAAATGAAATAAGAAATAATAGGGTAATTCAAGTAGCAGGCAAGTCGGCGATATGAGTTCGTATGTCCGAATACTGGACCTGAGTCAATGCCACCAGTGAAAATCTATTCAACAGTTATGCAACTCATATACAATACTACATTCATTGCCCAGGGCCTATCCGGAATTCTGGAACTACAAACGGCTCTTGAGGTAAAATGTTGCGTACGCACTGTCTTTTCTTTCCTTAGTGTTTGTGTACTTTGATACCATGCGCTTGCTTAGCCGCAAAGTTCATTCATCCGAACGCAAAGCGAAGCGAATTTTTACTCGGGCCATTAACGTTTTTGCAATAGAACCTTAGCCCCCCAAAAAGTCTAAACTTTCAGACCAAAGGTTTGGTTTACTTCAACTGAAAATAAAGCGATTTAAAAAAGTAAGCATTGAGCTGAAGCATTCGTTAAGTCTTTCTGGTTATAAAACAGTCGCAATATTTCATTTAGTTTGACTCCTACTGATCAATAAGATACGAACAAGACTACAGTTGTGATCTAAAAGTTTAGACAAATTTTCGGGATAAATGATTTTTTGCTGAAGATATTTTGTTCGCGATCTTGTGATATTAAAATGCTTTTCTATCCTTTTAATTAATGATCTTTGTGAAAATCAGATTGATTCAAGAAGCAAAATAATCGGGAAAGCCAACAGCCTATAATAGTGTCGTCTGCTTGCAGGGAAAATTTTAGGCAATTTCTATTCAGTGTGCAATGTCTTGAAGTGACGCGATCAATTTGTTGCTTATTCTTTCCTCTACGCTCACTGTTAATTGTTATTACAGCGTTCGAAAGAAAGATCAAGTTTAAGCGCACGTACACGCGTACGGAATCTTGAAAGTTGAGTTATAAAATCCAAAATAAAGGTCCATTTCCTCTCCATTGTTTAGCAAGGTTTTACTCGAAATGTATGTCCATTGTAAACGAAAGGTAACCATAATTCTTTTTCTTTCAGTGAAAGAATGACTTTTGGTAACCATAACTGTGTTAAAAGTTTGTTTGATTTCAGTCTGCTTTTGTATAATATGCTATTGTTGTAATGTCAAATGACCAGTAACTTAAACTTTCCTTATTTTCCTTATGTTATTTTTATTGTAATATATCGTGCTTACATATTATTTTGTTGTTTAACAAAATACTGAGTAGATGCAGATTAAATCAGAACGGTGGACTGTGTAAGGAAACCCTTAAAATGAGCAAAATTAGTTTTATAGCAATTCGGTGCAATCCTAGGATAAAAGAGAGAGAGAGAGAGAGAGAGAGAAAGAAGGAGAGAAGAGAAGGAAAGGCTTTTCGGGGTGTTATACCAGATAGCTGAAATTTCAATACAGTTTATTTCAGCATATATAGTTGAAGTCACTTTACTTTGAAAGCAACGAGAACTTTTGGGATAAAAACCTTTTTGATGAATAAATATCGTAGTATTGTGTGACTAAGATAAGATACACCAAATATCATATTTGCATATGTCAGCATCAGTAGTAAAAGAAATTTACCAAAACTTCAGATCACTCTCAAAAGCTTATACTATCAACACAAAAAGATTATTAACAAGTCCTGCATGATAACAATGGCAAAAAAAGTACCAGTGTATGTATGTACTCAACGCCCTTTCTGCTCCCGTTCCAAGGGGAAAAGGGGTCAAAAATTTCTTATATAGGACCTGACCTTCGGACCGACCTACAGCGCGCTGAATTTCGTCGCACACGGCCGACATAAAGAACATCTCGATATACTGAATCTCTTTTCTTTTCTTTTAACTGTTTTCTTTGATTGATTTGATTGATCAGTACACTGGCTACTTTCGTCGCACCTGTCAGGTCAAGCCGGGTAACACCTTTTTTTAAAAAAACATATTGTTTCCGTCAACTTTGATGCGAGTTTGTGTCAATAAATCTCTCTACCAGCAACATGCCGGGGCAACATGTCAAGGCGGGGACGTGTTTTTTTCTTCACGACGCCGGGAAATTTCTTCTTTAATCTTTAAAAGAGATGTGGTTGACCACACAAATATAGAACGGGTCACTGAAGAACATATGCCTATCGCATGCATGAACTATTCAAAGCATAAACGCTTCGGTAGCTTTTGTTGATATTTGTTGTTTCGCATTTATGAATCGATGCACAAGGACACGGCACGGTGCGTTTGTTAGCGGGGTCTTCGTTTCGCTGCCATCTGGATCCTTGACCTTTGAAACTAGATGTAGATTAAAAAAATAAATTAAACCATTTCAGAAAAAAAACTTTTATTTTCATTAGAGGATTTTGTCTGAGCATATTTTGAATTGATTTACTTGCAAAGTGTACACACAGACACAGACGCGCACGCTGATGTTCACGCGCACACTCACGTACGCACATGATTTTGCGTTCATGAACGTACAGCGAAATATGACTTTGAAAATATTAACTCGGTGCTTACAATGTTACATAAGAAATAACCTCATTATCTCAAGCATGGACGAGTAGTTTTTTTGTTAATAACTATTATTCTTTTATTTGACTCATTCGCCCCAGCTGCTGTTCTATACAAATCGTTAATTTTGCCAGGGGAATTTGTTGTGGAAACCAAAGTACAAAATATTTGGTTACACTAGTTAAATTTACTCTGTATAAACTATCTTTTCATCCCTTTTGTTGAGACCCTTAACCTCAGGCTAAAAGAAAAAAATGACAAAAAAGCATGCAAAATGTTCTCTTGCCGAAATTAAAGTTTTAAAGAAGAGACAATTTTTCGTTTAGATGTATTCAATTGCGAGCGCGTGTATCCAAGCACACGTTCATTATTCAAATACACGAAATTGGTTCTCTTTGTAGTTGAAGGGGTGATTTATCGCGAAATTCTCCACTGAGACACAATTCTATCACGTTTTACGATACTTGCGCAGTACATGTGGTAATCGACCTACAGTGCACTTAAAAGCATTTCTGAATAATCAAATATAATGTTATTAAGACTTAAATTATATGTGTGTAATAAATGAAAAACATGGTACCTTAAAAAGTATAATGAGATGAACGTGCGCATTGGTTTTATTGTGAGGAAGAAAATGGAGATACGCGTTTGGTTTTCACGTTGATCGGCTTATCAGTTTTTAAAGGGATAGCAACTCTTCATATTAAATTAAAAATTCCATAAAAAAAATAAATTAATAAATAAATGAAAATAAAAAAAATTGTAAACAACACAGAAATATAATAAATTCAAGAGATTATTACAAATCACACTTAAAAAAAGAAAACAATAGACTTACTTTGAATGTCGGAACGAATTCATTAAACATTGAAAAATATGGGGAAATTGTCGTTTACCCCGGGAAAATCCGTTAAATGGCACTTTCTCCGCCAAAAAAAAAAAAAAAAAAAAAAAAAAAATTCATCCCTTTAAATATGAAAAACACAAAATCATCTCGATAAATCACACAAGTTTCCGTGATACTTTTATACCTTCACCCCCCTTATTTTTACTGACAGACTCTGGCATTATTACAAAGAACCAAACAATTGGCCTAGTGTTATAACTTAAACACAGGCACTTGAAATAGTTCATAACTCCCTTTTTATTCATATCATCACAAAACCGTTGGTCGCTTTATTCTTTTTATATCGCAGGAAACCATAAAAAAAAAATAAAACAGTCAGCAGAAAACTGGGACTAATTCTTTGATATGTTACATTTCAGTGGATGGAAGCACTGTAACTAGAGTCAAGCCTAAGTATGGCAGCAAGAGAGGAGGGACCAAGTTTTACCTGTTCGGCACGTTTGGTGAGTTCCTTCATTTATCCTTGTTTATGTCGGGCTGAATAAATTAAATGTCAAAAAGAATGCAATTAGTACCCCTGTAGACGAGCACAGATTATGTGTAATGATTGGGTACCTGAAAAATGGCTCAATCTTTATCCTGTTTAATTTGTTTGTTGTACTGCTGTTAGTCTTTCTTTCTTTCTTTTCTTTCTTTTTTTTTTTTTTTTTTTGGGGGGGGGGGGGGGGGGGGGGGGGGGGGGGGGG